GTGTGCAGCCCAGTGGTGGATGCTAACCTAGCAGGTGTGAGGCCTCGGGTTCCTTCCCTAGTACCACAAAGGGGAAAAAAGATGGCTAAAGATGATTGGGAGGAGTGATCTTGGTAGAGGGCTCTGAAGTGGGAGAGAGCCTATTTGGGTGATGGGGGAAAAGGCCAAAGTGACTGGGGCAGAAAAAGTGAAGGGAAAAAGAGGGGAACATGTAGGGACCTAGAAGTTAAGACTTTTTTTTCTTATCCAAAGAACAGGCGATTATGAAAGATTTTAAGAGGATGCTTAGCAGGTCAGATGTGTATTTTAACTTTTTAATTTCCAGTGCTAGAAATGGAACCCAGGGCCTCATGCACACTAGGCAAGCACTCTGCCAGCCGGGCCCAGATCCACATTTTTAAATCCCTGATTTGCATTTCAGGAATGACTTGGAGAACAGAGCAGTTAGAGGTGGGTTTTCAGAGAAACGAATGCAGCATAAGCTGCAAGGCCCTTTCTTTCCAGGACCCTCGCGAGGTCCTGGGAGAAACCCTGGCCATTTTGTTTGTGGGGCTGAACTAATTCTGTACAGGTGTTTTGTATTTTTCTTAAAGAGGGACTCTTCCTCCACCCAATGTACAGGTCCTGCAAAACCTATAAACCAGTGGTGGATGCTAGCCTAGCATGTAGAGGCCTCGGGTTCCTTCCCTAGTACCACAAAGGGGAAAAAAATGTTCCTGATTCACAATAAGAAATATCTAGGCTAAACTTTCAAATCCTTACTTTCTTTTTTCATTGCTGGGGATCAAACCCAGGGCCTTATGCTTGCTATTCAAGTGCTTTACTACTGAGCTACATCCCCAGCTGCTGCCTTATTGAGTGATTAAAGAAAACTCTTATTCAGAAGAGGGGTGTTTTGAAGAACTAAGCCATGGATTTCAGTGGTGGGGAGACTATTAGATGAGGTACAGTTTTTGGTGGTGACCAACTCTGGCCAACTTTAGCAAAACTGGAAGATAAAAACTTATTGGATATATCTAAGGAGTAAAACAGTATTTAATATACATATAGATATAGAAAAAGGTTGCTATAGTAGAAATAATTAATATATTCATCATCTCACAGATACCCCAATTAACATATTCATCATCTTACAGTTACCCCCCTTTATTGTGGCAAGATCACCTGGAATCTTCTTTCTTAGCATAAACCCTAGGTGCGTAGGAAATCCTGGAGGGCAGCCCTCATGTGTGTCCTCTAGCCTTGCTCTGCCTGTGCATCTGCCTCTTTGTACCCTTTGACCTACATCTCCCCATTTCTGCTCCCACTGTTGGTGTAGCAGGTGTTTGAACATCATGCTGGCAAAGTCTATGTAAACCCTCACCTCTGCTAATAAGATTATTGGAAAAAGTGAGGTCAGGCACCAATCCTGTTTCTTGAGCCAGAATATGGATTCAAAAGAAGCAGGAGAGATTCCTTCTACAGAGGCAAAGGTTATACCTGTTCTCCATCCAATGAAAGGCCCAGGCTGCTTTCTTCTTCATACCAGGCATCAATGGTATTGAAGAGAAATTCTCTTTCTTTGGGATCTTTAATGGAAATGTCAGGAAGGAGACTATACCTTTCAGAATGTATGTTTGCCATGGCAATTTGGAAGCCATAGATAGCAATGGTGGGCTTCTGTAATTTGAACTTCTTGGCTAAATCCTTCTGTCAACTTTTCATTTACTATGCCATTACTTGCAAATGTGATATAAAAATCTGTCTCCTTGGGCTTCCCAGTGCTAAAAGACCTTGGGAAGATCCACCTTCTTGGCTGTGCCAAAAGAAGTCCAGCTTTCTTATACATCTGCCACATATCATGGTATTCAATAGGAAGGATGGCCACGCGGGGGCAGGATGGGTCGTGGTAATGGTGATGGTGAGGTCTTCTCAGCAGTGGTTCATCCTTCATGCTGGGGGCAGTGACTTTAGTTTTCGGCTTGGTGGGCTCCTGGAAGAGCTGGCCAGGACACGGGTCCTGTTCTCCTGTTGGCCAAGCTGAATTCCTTCAGTGGCGATAGTGCAGCTGCTGTTGGCCCATGATGGTGGTGAGCAGTGTGCAGATCCAGAGCATGGTGGTGGTGGTGGCAGAGGTGGAGAGCAGAGAACGTGGTAGCTGGGACCCCAGAGCACTCCTGTGTTTTTGGTAATAGCCATCCTAATGGGGGTGAGGTTCTATTTAATTGTGGTTTTCATGGACAATTCGAATTTACTGGAAGGATAGTTGTCAAACCTTTTTTTATTAGGGCCCTATAGAAAATATTTTCAGCTTTGCAGGCCATAGGCTGCCTGTTGTAACTACTTCACTCTCCCTTGTTGGACAGAAGCAGCCACAGACAGCATGCAGATGAATGAGCATGGCTGTGTGGAAACAGAGCTTTATTTGTGGAAAAAAAAAAAAAAAAGGCTGCAGACTGGAGTTTTCAAGTGGGCCATAGTGTTCTGAGCCTTGTATGCAGAGGCTCCAGATTATTGGATGTTTAGCCTGCAGCTTTGTACATGAGTGGGTGCACAGGACTTGGCATGTGCATCGTCCTTGATATACTGGGGTCTGCACTTGCCTACCTCTGCTTTGGCCACTTGCTCTGCCAGTCCCATGCATAAAGCTCCAACCGCTGCCATGGTTGTGGCTGTGCCGCAGATGAGGAACACTGTGTCTACCACTGAAGATGACCCTGTATGAATCACTCTTTAGTAAGGGACTCAACCAGATCATGAATGACATGCTGGGCTGGGGAATGTAGCTCAGTGGTAAAATGCTTCCAGACTCTGGGTTTGATTACCAGAATGCCGCCCCCCCCAAATCCTTTAAAAATATCTCATCATCAGAAATGAAACGCCTATGTGAATAGATGGGTGTCAGCTGCCTGGGTACTTAGAGGAGAAAAACTTTGAGGCTAAATCTTAGTTCAGTGGGAAAGGAGATGTAATTGATTAATCATGACTCTCATGGGCACCAGGATGAAAGTAGTGATATACATTTGCTAAATATTTGTGTTCCTGCAACTAGCTGATTTCCAAGGTTCCTTATAGTTTCAACAAGGCACAGTTCTGTGTCTGTATACCTCCCTGGGAACATTTTGGAGATGGAACAGTCATGTAAAATATAGTCATTTAGTTCAGAAGCATGGTCTGTAATTTTACAAATTCCTAACATATCTGCTTGTGTAAGAGACACAGTGTGAGTAATGGTGTGAGTCTCCCAATTCTGTTCATGATAGACACAACCCAGGAGGCAGCTGGACAATGAGAGAAAGAAATCAATCCATTACTACTTTTACCTCAGCCTCACAGTTTACACAGAAAGCAGATTCCAACACATTTTTTTTTTGGCAAGATTTGACAGCTGTTTATTGAACACTAATTATTCCAATCAAAGATTCTTTCCTGCCCTCTAGAAATTGTAATTTCCACTGTTTCATTCTGAGTAAGAGGGGAACATCAACTAGAAAGACTATAGGGAATGGCTTTCTGGAATAAATAGGGGTGGGAGGTAGTGGAAAGAGGGCCAGGGGAGAGAGAGGGCCCCTTAGCTTGGGGGAATGGGGATAGCAGAAGCTTAGAGGGAGTGCTGGTGGCAGGTGGGATTGCAAAGCTGTGAGAAGTCAGGATGTGGGGTTTGCTCTTGGTCCCTAAATAATAGGTCTCATGTCTTCTAGAGCTTTCCAGAGGGATCATTCTTGTGGGTTGTATGGAGGAGAGATGGAAGGATGGGCTCAGAGGGGCAAGGAAGGACCATGGTTGCAAAAATGAAGGTAGGAGAGGGTGGAGGTGGAGTTCGGAGGATGGCATGGAAGAGCAGCTGAGGCACGTGTGTAGGCTGTTCCAAAGTCAGGCAGGGCTGGGCATGGTGGCTGGCAGGATATGAAGGGGCAAGAAGAGAGGAGTCATTGATAAACACGGAACCCCCAACCTGGGGTCCGAGGATGTGGAAGCCAAGGAATGTTTGGAGAAGGGACCAGGAAGAAAAGACTCATCTTTAGTCAGAAGTTTTCAAGATGGCGGATGTGTCCACAGCAAGGGCCAAAGACTTGGAAGACAGCACAGCCCAGTGCTGAAATTCCACAGAGGTGACCTGGGCAGGTGGTTGTTGAAAATTTCTAGAAGTCTCTCAGAAAACTACCACCAAGGTAGGAAAAGAAAAAATTTTTTTTGTCAGTTCTAATTAGAAAAGATTTTTGATGGATCAAAACTTGGCAGATAAGGAAAGGAGGCTGGGCTGGAAGTCAGGCCTTGACTCTGTTTATGTCTTGCGGTGTGGCTTTTGACTAATTACTTAACTTCTCTCCACCTGTATCATATGTTCTGCATAATAACAGGATGACATTAGGGGATCAGCTGTGATTGAAAGTTGAGTTGTGAGGATGGATGGGTGGATTTCCTTGGGAAGAGTTCAGTGCCTTATAAGGAGAGACATTAGGAGAAAGGGGCCAACTTGACACCAACTTGCTAGCTACAGAAGCAGGGTATAGGGGGAAGAGTAATTTTTGCTTACAGAAACCCCAGGGTTTATGAGTAAATCACTGGGAGATGGAATGGATGTAGACTGAGGAGGAGATTATAGTTCCAGGTGAGATGAAGGAGCCAGCTAAATTGTCACTGGGGTGGGAGGTGGTGAGCAAGCAATGTTTGCCAGTGGAAAATATGAGCTTTATCTAGTTAAATTTCCAAGGATATGATTCATAGGAAGAAGATCTCAGCTGAACACAAGAACAGAAAGTAGGATAAGTGAATGCACTCAGAGGTTGCATTAATAGAAGTAGAGAATCCAGCCTGGGAGAGGTGATGCTAATGTTATCATCATGCCTTGTGCTCAGTTGAGGTTGGCTTGCTCTAAGAAGAACATGGATGAGGGGGTGTAATGAAAGAGGGATTGGGTACCAGGTAGCCTTGGGAAGAGAAGATTTTAAGGAATGGTGAGAGCTGCCTCTGAAGAGAGAGAGCACCTGAAGGAGAGCTTCTCCCTGCTTTTTCTACTTCTATTGTAGATAGAGTCGTTTCCGGAGGGTGCTTTGGATTTCAGGATTCACTTTCCTTGCTGTTCCTTCCTGAACCAGTTCTGCTTTTGCCATGCGCCTTGTCACCTGCAACAACAGGTGTGATCAGCTTGGGGGGCTGGGTCCCTAGGGGAACCGATGCAATGGGCTTACGGGGAGGTTAGGGAACAGGGCAGATGGGTATCCATGTCCCAAGATGGCAGACCTTCATTGTTTCCTCCTATGCCATAGTTTCTGTGGAATCATTACATGGATGGGTATAGCTATGTCTCTATATCTATATCTACATTCTGATCTGCAACAAAACACATCACCGTTAGAATGAAAAACTTTGTCCAAATATTGGTTAAATAAGAATGGTTTGTTCACAAATGTTTATCTGTATTTCACATTCTGTGGGCTTTGGGAGTTCCTGCACTGGGGAAATTTGTTGCTGGAAGACAGACATCCTAGCTTCTGTGTTGGGTTTGGAGATGGGGAAAAGGGAGAAAGATCAGGGGGAAGCTCCACTTACACTATGCTCAGCCTGAGTGGGGGTTCCAGGTAATCTTGTTCTAACTTACCTCCGTCAGAAGTTGCAGGATGGGTCCTTTCCTGTTGCAGAACACATCTGTTAGGGTTTGGATGAAGGTAGACCCATCCTCGTCATGTCTGTAGGCGAGGTGCCCTGGGGAATTTAAGAGAGGAGGGCTTGGGGAAGCTCTGGGGGTGGGAGTGCAGGGGACCCTGGAATAGGGTGGGCCCTGGGGGAGAGGCTCAGGGATCAGGGCCAGGGGAGGAGCAGAGGCCACTCTGGGCAGCTGGGAGTGCTTACCCTCCACTGTGGAGTAGACATGGAGGATATCCGTGTAAGTTGGGATGGTTTGAGGCTCATCCTTGGTGACCATCATCATCTCATCTCCACCTATTGTTTCACCGAGGTCTCTGTGTTCTGAAAACACCAAGAGAAGAAGTCAAGGTCAGAGAGGCAGATGCAAAGGGGGAAAGTCAGGACAGTTCAGCACATGCCAGGCTTAGCTAGGGCTCTGGACCTGGTATGAGGCCGCACTACGAACATGGACACTGGGTTCTCGACCTGTCCTTACCTCCTCGACAGGCCTGCACGATGTAAACCTTAGGCTTGCCTCTTAAGGCCCGGCAGTTCTTGTTGTTCAAGGTCTCAAAGAGGTCATCCAGCTTGACCATCTCCTCATCTTCTCCCTTGAGGAGGCCTTCTTCTCCATGCGCCATGAGCACCACAAAGGCGCAGCTGACGGGTTCTTTCCAGTTATCTATGACATCCTGGAAATTTTTCAATTCTTCCTGGAATTGCTGGAGGGACAGAAATGGACGGGTTCAGATAGGGCCCCAGAGCTCACCCATCTGGTCCACCCCGCTTCTCTCTTGGCCTGGGGTTGGCAGCCCAGTACCTGGGCAGTGGGATCTCTCTTCGTGGTATTCTCAAATCTCAGCTGCTTGAACATGTATTCCAGGGCACTTATATCTACTTCTGAACCTTCTCGGGCTTTGGTGACACACAGTGTCAGGGCCAGACGGGCGCCTGACATATCATATGCCTCCTGGTCCAAGAGATGACAAAAATCAAGGGCAAAGAGGTCAAGGAGAAGCAGGAGATGTATTCAAAAGAGTTAGGGTTGCCAGGAAAAATAGACAGTGCCTAGTGACAAATAAAAAAAAAATAAGATTTTAGTATATCTCAAATATTGCTTGAGATATAATTATACTCCAGTGTTTTTTGGTTGTTGACATGAAGTTCAAATTCAGCCAGACATCTCTTATTTTTATCTGCCAAATCTGTCAGTGCAACTGGGTTCTGGCTCTGCCTTAACAAGACTCCTTGGATAAGTCACTGCTCTTCTCTGAACCTTGGTTTCCAAATGCAGATAAGTGTGTGAGTAGAATTTTTAAGGTCCCATCCAGTTGTCACATTAGTGGCTTTATCTCTGTTCCCATCCTTCGCAAGAGTGCGGTGAGCATTCCTTCATGACTTCCTCAGTGTAGAGGTCTGAGAATTTCTGAAGCTAATTCTGAGATTCTACCTGATTCTGTGTGAGGAAGACTATTGGGGTCTTTTAAGAAGAGAAGCAGGATACTGAAGACCATAGTGATAAGAATGTGATCTTTGGAGACAGAAATACCTACGTTTCTTCCCTCTCCCTCCAATTTGGGTTCCATCCCAGAGTCCTTTTGTTGTCATCTGGAAGATCACAAAGAACCTTCTAGCTCTGAGCCCAAGTCATTATTATTTTTTCATTCTTGTGCTCTTCAGGAAACAATGAGTTCCTCTCCTCCCTCCCTGTCGCCCTGTTGAATCCATCTCACCTCCTCCAAAGGCCGAGGATTGATCATTTCCTCTTCCATCTGTGTTCAACTCTCGTCACCCTTGCTGATCCTGGGGTCAAGAGAAGATAGGTTAAAGGTCTCCAAAGGAAGACATTAGGAATCAGGGGGCAGATTGGTTTGTCTATCTGGATTTTTGAGAATGAATAGGACCCCAGTGCTGAAGACTCAGTACCTGGTCAGACCTAGACAAGAGATGACAGACCATGGTGTATTTCCTCTATAGAGTGACAGTCTGGTGGAGTCTTTTATCCATGGAGTTCTTGGAAAACCTGTAAGCCCACCCCAAATGCCATCCCTCTGGACCTTCCCTGTCTGTCTTTCAGGATACTTATCCTGTGATGGGCTAGACTTCTCCTTGGTAGGTCCTGGATGGAGGAGCATATTCTCCTCTTTTCTACTCGGGAGATGTCTGACTGGGGAGGCATCAATCACTAGGTGCTTCACGGTTGGGTTTAAAATAAGAATTTAATCAAGGTGAGGAATACTATTTTGAAACTGTCTTGGTGAGTCTCTAATCTGAAGAGGTCAGTATATCTCCTTCTTTCTGTTTTGAGATTGAACATCTGTCAATGTCTCCATTTTCCTCATTTGGCTGAAAGGAAAGACTTCTGTCATACTCTTGGGTGCCCCAGTGCCTTAACTTTGTTTATACTTCTTCCTCAGCCTGGACAACTTGTTTACCTGTCAAGACCCTTTCCCCGTGATTTGGATGGCATAATGTCTGACATGCCTTCCTTATCCATTCATGCACCCATCCTTTTATTTATCTATCCATGTCTTCATCCAACTTGTCTACCCATGCATCTTTCCATTTACTCTTCCATCCACCCATCCATCAATTCACCTACCTGCCACCCATTACCCACTAACCATCCATCCATCCACCCACCATCCATTATTTATCCTTCCACCCATCCACCCATCTGTCCAGCCAGCCAGCCACTTATCCAGCAATACACTCTTTCATCTATCCAGCACATATTTCTTGGGTATCTGTTGTATGTTAAGCACGGGGAACACACTATACATGACAGACATTCTTCTTGCCCTTCTGTAGCTTTAATCTATGACAGAAATGAACATTAAATCTCTCTTTTTCTCTACACACACACACACACACACACACACACAGCAGGTGTTGTGAGGAAAAGGAGGTGAATGTTGTGAAGGAGGAAGCAGAAGGAGTACAGCTCTAGAACCAGATAAACCAGACCCAGGAGCTTGGTCTCTCCCAGCTGCGAAACCTTAACCATCTCGCTCTCCTCTCTGAGACTCACTTTTCCCATTTGAAAAGGAAGGACTTGGGAAGAGTGCTAGGTGCTTGGCGGCAGTGGGCCAAATAAAGCAGGTTTTATGACCTCTATTAACTTTTTGTACATGGCCGCTCCCCTCTCTAGATTCCCACAGTTCTGCCTATTTTTACTTTTTTTAAACATTTGTTCAATATCACTTTAATCATCTCTTTATGGTCACGCATATATAGATTGCAGAGGCATTTACAGGTAGAAAAATAATTTTACAAGTGTATGATCACACATTTTATACGCAATATTAAATAATATTAATTTGTCTTTAATAGAACAAAGAGTGACATGAACATAAAAGAGTAGTATTTTCAATTCTTAACCTCATGGATGAATCAGTCGGTCAGTTTCCAGATTGAAAGCCTGACATCTTTATTTCTGTCTCCACCAGCTGTGTGGTACAGAGGTGGTGTCAGGGAGAACAGCTAATAAACAAAAGAACAAAGGAAAGAAAGCCTGGCTAGATGGATGGGTGGCAATCTCTCCAGTTCTGCTGGCACTGAGAGGGGGACCGTGTGTGAGAGACGGAGGAGCTGGTAGGTACCAGTCACTTACCAGCTGCAGGAGTAGTTGCTCCTTAAGCCAGGCTCAGTCTTGTCACTCTCCTAGCTGCTGGTACCAAGAAGGAGTCAGGTCCACTGCCAGTCTTGGAGAGGGGGCTGACTGGTGTGGGGCCTTCCTGGGTTTCTCCCGAGAGGCCTGTGATTCGTGCAGCACAATCATCTGGCCCTTTATTGCCAGCGAATTTTCTGTCAGTCGGGAAACCTCATGACTAGGGGACACGCCCTTGGCACAGCCTTGGTGTGGAAATAGAGTCAGACGCCCGTGGATGAATGATCTCAGGGCTTAGCTGACACCCCCTGGCTAAGGTGGCTGAGATGGAGCATCTAAATTAGCCAGTGGTTTTTGGGCCAGCCCAGCCACAAGACCCTCCACCCGACCACAGGTTTAGCTCATCTTGTTACCATCCAGCATTTCTACCAAGACAACCCATCCATTCCACCGTGAACTGGGCAGACAACACTGACTGTACTTGTTTATTATCTCATCACTCCTCAGGAGCATTGTTGATTGGCATTGCTGCTCCATTTTGCAGGTGGGGAAACTGAAGCTCATGGTGGTGAAATCCAATGACTGTTCCACATCGCCTAACCAGTTGACGGGCACGGTTGGCGTTCATATCCAGGAGGGTCCAGTCCAGCTGCCTTAGCTGATACCTCAGCCCCTGTCTCCTCTGCTTCGTGTCCTCCCTCCTCTGTTCTTTCTCGCCATTTTATTTTATGTCAATAGCTTTAATGAGATATAATTCACACACTTTACAGATCACCTACTGAAAGTGTCCATTCCAATGGCTTTAGTAGATTTACAGAGTGGTGCAGGGTGTCCTCACCACAGTTTGTTTTAGAACATTCTCATCACCTCAAAACAAAAACAAAAACCCTGTACTCTTTTAGCTATGGGCTCCACTTCCTTCATACATCCCAGTCCCAGGCAACTGCTAATCTACTTTCTGCCTCTATGGATGTCCCTGTTCTGGATGTTTCCTAGGAATGACATAACAGTGTATGTAGTCTGTAATCATTATTCTATGTGTTTGGCTTTTTTTCATAGCACAATATCTGCAGGGTTCTGCAATATAGCAGATATTAGTACTTCATTTCCTTTTTTATGGCTGAATACTATTGGGTCACATGGGTATTCTTCATTTTGTTTACCCATGCATTTGTTCTTGGCATGTGGGTTGTTTCTATCTTTTGGGCGTTTGAATGATGGTGTTATACATATACAGCTTTTTATGTGAACTCATGTTTTTATTCCATTCCTAGGGGTGGAATAGTCAAACAAGACAGCACAACTGGACCACTTTTGTCCCTCCAATTCTTTCATTTGCTTTGAGGTTTCCCAGGAACAAATGTAAGGAGTCCACCTTCAGTTCCCACGTCTGCATTGACTTACACATATTTAACTGTTAGTTTATATATGGGCTCATCTACAGTTTTGTTGTGATACCGTTTTACTCACCTAATTTTATGCCTGCGTCATCTTCCCATGTTAGCACTTATGAATCAATACCCCTTCCATAAGTTGGTGTTCTTTTAAAAACTTTTCATTGGAGAAAAACCTACATGTGTAAAAGTATACGAATGCTGATGAAGTTTCACAACTCAATACATCCCTGCAGCCAGCACCTGCCCAAGGGAAACAAAGTGACCAGCCCTGTGTCCCTGAATTTCTTCTTCGGTTTCCTTTTGGCTATTACCTTGTTGCTGCCACCTCCAAAAATCATCCTAATCAAGGACGCTATGGACCATTTCTTCCTGCTTTTGGTATATTATATAAATGGAATCAGATAGTATATTCTTTTTAGTGTTTGGTTCATCCACTTAATGTTATGCTTGTGAAATTCAATCATTTCAGCACGTGCAAGTAGCTTTTCAATCCTGTTGCTTTAGAGCAGTGTTTCTTAATCTTTGTTCATTATTTTCCCCTAAACCATCGTAGACATTTACCCTTATTGTCCCTCTGTGAAATTTTATACAACAGATATACCATATCTATCTATCTACCTACCTACCTACTTACTTACCTACCTACCTGTCTATCTAATCTATCACTTATCAATCTATCCATTCGTTACCCATCTATCCATTGTTTGATAGAGATCCATCTGTCGTCTATCATTCCATCTGTCTGTATACCTATCTCTCTATCTGCAATATGACATATCATATCTATCTACCATGAGCAACTTCATGGTTTATAAAATTCACATTATCTCATAGACTGAATGTACGGTAATTTGTTTAGTCATTTCTCTGCTAATGGACATTTCAGGTGTTTCCAGTTTTTCTCTATGACAAGTAACACTGCCACTGAATTTAAATTCTCCTTTACTGAATTTATTCAACAAATATTTATCAAATGTTGTGTCAGATGTTGAGCCAACATAGGCAAATAAAATGGACACACTTCCATCTTTGTAGAGATTACAATCTCATGTTATCCTCTCCTTCCCTTCCCTTTCCTTTTCCATTTTCCCTGTCACCAACAGCACTCACAGATCTTGCAAAGTGCCTCACTGTCCCTAACAAGTATTAATTACAAACTGTACCCCTTCCATAAGTTTTCTGTGCAGGGGGAGACACGGGGCACTGTTGGGCTCTGTAAGGGAAACACAGAGCTTCTTGTCACAACGCGCGCTCTGAATCTCCTTATAATCACCCAGGTAGGGTCTGACTATTGCACAAGGGGATAGAGCAAAAGGCCTGGGAAGGTGTGGAATCATCTTCAGCATTTGGGAGACATGACATCACTTAATTCTGCAATGGTGTGAAAAGTACACATTTTTCATTGGAAGAGAAGTGAAAACAGAGAAACTCTGAAATACATTGTACCCAACATTCCACCCTTACCCGGGGTCAAACATTTTAGCCAACCTGAGTTTCTGCCACCATGTTGCTCTTAGAAACTTCATTTTTCAAAATATGTTTATAGGATCTGGTCATCTGAGAAGATCAGATTTTGGAGTAAGAAATTTGAAATGGGAGGCGGATGCAATGGTGCTAGAAAATGTCCAGCACCTGGATTGTCTCAAAATGAAACAAAACAAAACAGAATGCAACAACAAACAAAAAACCCTCAAACAATAAAAAGCAAAAAAATATGTTTATTTATAGTGTTTGCCAATTTCCATGGTGTAAGTGCTCCCACAAT